GGGCTAAGGAGGCAAGCCCCAGACTACGGCATTTTAGCTCACCACGCAGCGACAGCTCGTCGCCGGTGAGCATCCTTGTCTCCTGGGCCGCATCAAGTTGGGCAATGAGCTCCCTGGCCATTAGCAGCTGCAGACGCACACTCCCCACGTTGCGCGTACTCCAGCTCTGCAGTGCCTTGGCCGTCCGTCTTGAGAATCTGTCAGTCACGCCCTGTTGACGTGTTCCATATAACCCGTCTTTTTTCAGCTTATTTTTTCAGTCAGATCAGTATTTTTCTCTCACAATAAGTCAGCTGGAACAATATTTCAACTTGTTTTTTTCAGCGAAACGAACGGGGCCTGGCTGTACCTCTCCCTCGTCTCCCTGTGATCGAAGTCGAAGTATACATTGCCATAATGCCATGTGAAATAATGGAGGCCTAATTCCGAACAAAGTGCATGGCAATGATCCAGCTCAATCAGTCTCCTGCTCATGTGGTGCCGGGTGCCCCATGGAACTATGGGAGCCCTGGCAGATTTTTGGTATAGTTTCGTACAAAAGTCCTGGAAAAAAAAAAGATCCTCCTCTGTTCAGGCGAAGGTCAAATACTCAAACGAGTCGCGGTTCACTAGATATATGCCATTCACATATCAGTATATCACAGTCCAGAACTTGAGGTGCAGTGCCTGTAGCTGCGTTCTCTCTCTGCGAAATTTTGCTACGTTTGTGAGGTAGTAGAACTTTGAAAGCCTGGAGGATATGTTTTTCAGCTTCAGGAACATACGATACGGCGACAGCCCTTCTGTTTCCCCACCACCTATTATATTCAGCTCATTTTTACAACTTTAAAGCGAGCGTCTAAAGACAATTTCGTATAGCTTTAGTTGCCAATACACTCACTGGCATAGGTACACAAAGCCGTGACGCAGGCCAGCACCGGCCGGCTTTGCGCAAAGGCAAAGCTGGCACGCAGAAGCGTGCCATCACGTGCCTGTCGCCCGGTTCGTCGATCCGTGGCCAGGCCGGCCGCTCCACCCGCCAAGCGTGTTTCTCCTCGCGCGCGCGGCGCGCCCAACGCCCCAACCGCGCCCAAGACCCCAGCACGGCATGACGCCAGGCGGCAGGCCCCGTCCTTGCCTGTTGCCCGGCCTGCCGCCATGCCGCGCGCTGCGCAGGTGCGTGCGCTCACCAGTCACCAGCACCCGATTGCCCGCCGCACGGCAGCCTTTTTTTCACCGCGCCCGCGAAGCTAGCTCCGTCCGGTCTCTCCGGGCGGTTGGTTTGGTGGCCGTTTAGTTTGCAAAATTTTTCAAGATTTTTCATCACATTGAATATTTAGACACATGTATAAAGCATTAAATATAAATAAAAAATAAACTAATTACACAGCTTAGACGAAATTCACGAGACGAATCTTTTAAATCTAATTAGACTATAATTAGACACTAATTACCAAATAACAACGAAAATGTTACAATACCATTTAAAAAAATTCGCCAACTAAACGTGGCCTTGTTCGCGTCATTGCGTTGCGTGCCTGGAAATCGGCAATCGGCAATCATGAAATTACTACTGTTCATCGTGGCATTTATGTACAGCAGTGGTCGGTTGGTGAAAAAATGTACTGCACGCAGCACCAGCACTGAAGTCGGGTAACGCTAACGGGCCAGTTGCCCCGCTTTTTGTGTGGCTGTTGCAGCCGGTACCTGTGTCCACGTTTACAGCTTATACAGTGTACGTAGCCCCTCTCTCTGTTCCCGTTCGTTTAGTCTGTTCGTTTCTCTTATAATCCGTATTTTTTAGCTTGTTTTTTAATCAAAACAGTATTTTTCTCACACCAAATTAGCTGGAACAGTGTTTCGACTTGATTTTTCAGCGAATCAAACAACGTCTTATGGCCTGTTTGCTTGAACTTATCAGCAAGAATCTACAGTATTTTTTTCTCACAACAAAATAACTTCAATCAACTTATCAACCAACTTTAATAGCAGCCGAACATGGACGGTAACTTACAAAAGCCAAAACGAATGAGGCCTTGTTTAGATACTCTCAAAATTCCAATTTTTTTTTTCACTCTCTTTCCATCACATCAATTTTTAGCCGTTTGTATGGAGCATTAAATGTAGGTAAAAAAATAACTAATTGCACAGTTTAGTTGGAAATCACGAGATGAATCTTTTGAGCTTAGTTGGTCCACGATTGGACAATATTTACTAAATAAGACGAAAGTGCTACTATTCATCGGGTTAAATTTTTTTTCAATTTACACAAGGCCTGATAAAGAGTATGCCGGGTCCATACCGGCACCAGAGTCAGAGCAGGACAGCGGCAGGGGGGCAGTAGAATAAAATTACCTGAGACGGATTTTACAGCAAAAAAGAGGGTTGCTAGATGGTACTACAGTAGTAGTACAAAGCTTTTAGATATACTCCTAAAAATATAATTCTTGTTTTTCAAGAAATCAAGTCATTTGAACTTTGACTGAATTTATATAAAATAATATTAACATTCATGATACAAAATAAGTACCATTAGATTAGTTATAGAGTATATTTTTATAATAAATTTATTTAGAGATATAAATATTAATATTATTTACTAGAAATTTAGTTAAACTTAGAATATTTTGACATACATGATTTTCATAATTATATTCTTTTGCGCAAGGAGAAGATTCAAGACAATGGAGCGGTAGAGATCGTTTGTAGGTACGTAGTACTACTATTGGCTAGGGGACCAGACCACGGTGGCCCCTAAATTCCCCCTAAATTTGTCAGACCATAAAACCTTCTGATTCTACTGGTCTATTTTGTCGCACACTCTGCTTGTTGTTTGCTTCCGTTTTCGTACCCTACATTTGAAGGAAGACAGAAATACCACTTTTCCTGCGGAAAAGACAGAAAATGACACTACGGCACCACTAATCAGAGCCTGTTTTGAACAAAGGAACGCAGTTCTTGCAGTTTTCTTACATTCTTCCTTCAATCCAAACGCGCCCTCATAGGTTCTGGTAGTACATTTTTCCTTGGGGTGCAATTTTTGTGTAGGTAGTCGCATGGGTAAATAAAAAATCCGAAATTTGGTGATTGCATCTAAACCGCATATGTTGCGATGTCAAGATCAATCATACTAAGCTGCTTGGCATTTTCTGATCCTCTTTTGTTTTCCTAACATAATTGGACTGTTGCATCATAATGCCTTTGGTTTGGTCCAGGAACCATATCATTAGTTGGAGTCTGCTAGTTCGATTAATATGCTTTATTCCAATCACCTGCATTACAACTAACATAATCCATTCTAGGTTCATGTGCCAGATAGGCAGATACTAATAAGATACCAGTAGCAGATCCTTTTCTCCCAGCTTCTCTGACGAAGAAACGGAGGTAGACCCTCTCTTCAGAGTGATGGGCCACATATGGCGCTGGGCAGGGCAGACCAGATGTATCATGATCGTGTCAACCCCAAAACCACGCACGACGTAGTGAGATGTTCTTTCACGAGAATTATTAGGGTTGCAAATCAGTCGAATAAGGCGTTAGTGTTTCTTGTCTTTATGGATGGTCTGATTGATAGGTATCTACAGAGACTGCAGGTGTCACTAGCTAGCATGCACAATTGCTCACCTGAGTTCGTTTCTTTTGCTTTTAGGGAAATTAAAAAACATCGGCCAGATTAGATAATGCTATGTTACAACACAAACATCGAGTGGGACTTAATTTTTTTATTCGACGTACGATAAGTGCTAAACGCAAACTTAAACATCTCTTTCAGTTCTCGCCAAGATCATCATCATATAATCACAATATACCTACTAACGTTATGAAAGAGACAAGAAAAAAGTGAAAGTTAAGATCATGTTTGGAACGTGAGAATTTTTTGTTGTTCCTGTGTCTTTTCTATGAAATTAAACAGATTTCTGTATAAATCATATAAAATTCATGTGTTCCAAGCATGTTAGTAATTTATTTTAGGTTTAGTTAAATTTAGAAATTATTTAACTCTTTGATAAATGAGAATTATATTCTTTCTAGAAAGGAGGGAGAATTTTGAGTGTATAAAGTTACATAGCTAGAAATGGATTTATTTCGGTAGGGAGGAAGTATTTACGTATGAGCTGGTAGTTTGCTGAGATTGATACCTGGCTACAAAGCTGCTGTTCAGCTCTTCCATGTCAGTCACATAAAGAAAAGGGAAAGTAAAAAAAGGCAAGAAAAAAAAAGCGCATAAATAAACGCGCGCAGCAGTCTTCCTAGCCCCGACCACGAGAACCGGACCCGGGTCCGGCACTGGCACCTAACGTGACCGTCTCCAACAAGCAGCGCATATGGGGCATCAAAACCCAAAATGACTGCTAAGACCCACTTCGCTTTCCTACAAAACCAGACAAAACACTATTTTATGTAATTTACTATGAGAGAAAAATATTATTCTGATTAAAAAAATAAGCTAAAAAATACGGATTATAAGAGAAGCGAACAGTGCATTTGAATTATCTAAGAGACACAACTTAAATTTGGATATCCTCTTAACTGAAAACTCATTTATAGAAAGAATTCTCTTTTGGTTCGTGTTGTTGGAGAAGATGTCGAATATAGTATGTATTGAACTTTTCGCCAATAACGCTATTCAAAAGACGAATATGTATTGTATTTTTAGACTGTTCGTTTCAGCTAACCAATAATATTCAGCCTGTTCGCTTGCTCGTAAACGATCATAAATTTCCAGCCAAGAATAATGTTTTTCTTTCATACCAAATTAGTCAGTAGTAAATAATCCACGATACAATACGACCTCTCGAATAATCTGATTTTTCTTCTCCAATAAATCAGTATGTCGGGCTTATCAAGCCACGTTCAATGGAACGGGGGTTGTCGTTGAGATAGCCTAGAGTTCACCAGTAGCCTAGGCAGCTACACTCCACGCCGCGGTGCTGCCTCCCAACCCCCTCCCGGCCCGGGCGGAAGACTATAACTAGAGGAGCAACAGCACGGCGGCACCGCTCGTGGCTCTCGCGCCAGCCATGGGCACCACAGCGCGGCGCGAGCCGCTGAAGCAGCGCGTGAACCGCTGCCTCCTCAAGCTTTCCGACCGCGACACAGAGGCCATGGCGGCCGCCGAGCTCGAGGCCATCGCGCGCGCGCTCGAGCCGGACGAGCTCCCGGCCTTCGTCTCGGCCGTCTCGGACGCGCGCCCCACCGACAAGACCCCGCTCCGCCGCCACGCGCTGCGCGCCCTGGCGCTCGTCGCGGCGTCCCACCCTCGCGACGCCGTGGCCCCGCTCGTCCCGCGCATCCTCGCCGCCGCGCTCCGCCGCGTCCGAGACCAGGACTCCTCCGTCCGAGCCGCGCTCGTCGACACCGCGCGCGCCGCGGCGGCGGCCTCGGCCTCGGCCTCCGCCGCGCTCCGGCCCCTCACGGACGCGCTCCTCCACGAGCAGGACCAGTGCGCGCAGCTGGCGGCCGCCCTCGCCACGGCCGCCGCCGTCGAGGCTTCCGCCGCCACCGCCGACCTCGCTTCCTACCTCCACAAGCTCCAACCGCGCCTCCTCAAGTTACTTCGCAGCAATGCCTTCAAGGCCAAGCCCGCGCTCATCACCCTCATCGGCGCCTCCGCGGCCATGGCCGGCGATGCCGAAGTCACCGCCTCCATCCCGTGCCTCCGCGATGCAATCGCTAGCGATGACTGGGCAGCGAGGAAGGCCGCGGCGGAGGCGCTAGCTGCATTGGCCCTAGAGCACACGGATCTTCTCACGACCTACAAATCCTCTTGCGTTACCTTCTTCGATGCCAGAAGGTTTGACAAGGTCGGTCATCAATTTGGTTCGGATCTTACGGTTGTCTTTTTTTTTTTTGGATCTGACTGTGGGGCTGAGTATCAAAATGCTTCAATGCAGGTCAAGATTGTGCGAGAGTCGATGAACCGGATGATTGAGGCGTGGAAGGAGATCCCGGGCGCTGAAGAGGACGAGTGCTCCTCCGCTCCGCCACCAGCGTCCCAGTCACAGCGAAGATCTTCTCTTACAGGTGAGGAGGGGCATTCCCTTTGTAGTTTTAGCTGTACTTGGCTACTTGCTACTAGTTCCGCATGTACAGATCTGGTAAATTTATTGGTGTATACCTTGCAAGAAGTAAAGAACCACTCAACCACATAAGAGTCTCTTGTTGTTTATACTTAATAAAATATTGATGAATAGTTGGGTAAAATGCTACACCTATTTCTTTTTTGTATATAATTTATCTTGTAACTAATCAGGGAGTGCAAGTGGTGGGCGATATCCGGCTGCTTCGCTGGGCTCAAACTCAGTTCCATCAGCAACAAGGAGGAGCAGATTACCTGTGAGCAGATCATCTCCGCCTGATGTGTCACCCAGTGTCACCAAAACAAATAGTCCTTCATCCATCAGGAACAAGAAGCTGTCACCGCCTTCATATCGCAAAGTTCGCCAAGCAAATAATTGTGACTACAAGGTTGAGATTGCTGTTGCCCCGGATGCTACCCCAATCAAAGTGGTGACGGAGGAGAAGCTGCTGAAAGGAGGCAATGTGAGAGACAGACTGGAGGTTAGGAGGACACTCTTCCAAGGCAGCGAGGATAGGTCGGCCAAGCTGGCTGGACACAAAGCAGGGTCACGAGTTGTTCCGTACGAGGGCGGTGGTAATTTGGAAGAGATTTCAGAAATTGAAGGTGGATCGGAAAGGTATGCAGTTCAAAAGGATGAGAGCTTGTCAGAAATAAGGACGCAGCTCCTTCAGATTGAAAAACAGCAAAGCAGTTTACTGGATCTTCTCCAGGTAATTTTCCTTTATTCGGTTGGTTCTTATATTTTACAGTTCTCTTGCGAGACTTATATGGCTTGGAGCCATTACACGTTTCTTCCAGAAATAAAATAATTACTAACTTCTCCCCTGATTACTAAGGGCCTGTTCGGCAGGACTGGAAAATACTGTTCCAGCTGATTATTGTGAGAGAAAAATACTGTTCTGACAGAACGTGAACAGTGATTCCGTGAGAGGAAAAACAAGCCAGCCGAACACGCCATAAGTTATACCCGAGAAAACATTCTGTAACTGTAAGTTAGTCCATGCTGGAAGTGGGTATTTTGGTTTCTGGATACTTGGTTGCAAGAAGAGGGTAATATTGGCTCCTGTTTCAGAATACTGGAAAGGGAGTGCTACTTAAAAATTGATGTTTCCATCCAACATTAACTTTTCAGTATCAGTGACACGTTGGGTCAGATTTGAAAGGGACTGCTACATATAGTAGCACATGTCATGTTCCTGATGTTCCCTACATAACATTGCATTGCTAAACTTAATAAACTTAACCATGCACAAATATTTTAGTAGTGACATGAAGGCATGCAAAATTATCATCTTGCTGATTTAGCTGCACCTGCCATGTGCAATTAACATTCCGTATCGACGTATCTTCACATGTAAAAAAACGTCTAACATGAAACAAAATGTTTTATGTCATAAGGCATATAGGTATTAGTCATCGTGAAATTTACTGGAAGTGAGTCTGAAATTTATTATCCCTTTTGTTTATCAGAAATTTATGGGGAAGTCTGAGAATGGTATGAATTCTTTGGAGACAAGGGTGCATGGGCTGGAGATGGCTTTGGATGAGATCTCTCGTGATTTGGCCTTCTCTTCAGGAAGGATGTCAAACAGGGAGCCTGATGTAAAGACATGCTGCATTCTGAGCCCAAAATTCTGGAGAAGGCACAATGGTGGTAGGTCTTCCTCAAGGTTTTCTGCCTCAGACCCAGCAAACAGCTCAGACGAGAGCAGAACTTCTTACAAATGGGAGAGACAGAAGTTTGGGCTTCAGGGTGGGTTTGTCACAAACCCATTAGCCGAGCCAAACATTTCATCTGTAGGGAAAACAATGGTTACTCAAGAAGGCAGGAAGAAGGATACAACTTTACAGAAGTCAAGGTAATTCTTTGTTAATGAAAATTCTGGTAATCTTTTTCTGTATACATATAGTTCAGTTGCAGAAGATACGGTTGTTAGGACAATCAGATATTCCCAAATAATAGATTACTGAACTTAGAAGCTGACAATAACAATGCAACATAAAGGTAGTACTTTTCATACATAATACATTGGTATGATTTTAAAGCTATGATGTCCATCTTAATTCTTAATTCTTAATATGCAATGCATCTTTGAGTATCTCTCTCTTTTAAGACAGGTGGGGCTTCCCTCTCATTTCCCACCAACCTACATTTACATTTGCAATATATATTTCCATAACATAATTCTTTTCCTCTCAACTACTTGGTACCTAATATCTTCATACCTAATTTACTCAGGATGGGTTAGGCATGATCAAGACATTCTGTTCCAAGTGTGAGCTGGTCGAGTTTGCTTATTATCATGGAGGCGGCTGTAGTTCTCTTCTCCACTGCAGCCTTTTTTTTCTAAGGAATGGGCGTTGTCATTTTTGGAAGCTTTTTCTCCATCAGAGCGCATGGTGTGCGCGTGAACTATGGCTCTATGGGAATCACTCTAGAGCTAACCGTTTGAGTACTATGCTGTGCTGCTCCCGGGAGCTGTATTCACATCTTCAGGTGGATCGCCAGGGAGGCTTCTTTATCAGACAGCCTCGCTTGACACCGACGCAATCACGCAAGGCCCCCCTGGAGTCCTGGACTACGCTGGGTTTGGCATGAGAACGACCACTGTGTTTGTCATTTCGTAACTAGAGAAACAACTAGCATTCTGATAGAACGTAATCACAATGTATCACCATCCTACGGAACTATGGATGCGTCTTGTAAATAGGCCGGATAAAAGCGCTTCTATGTTCGCGAGCTTCTTTTCTTTAGCATGATTCCAAAGTGTGCCTTTTTTCTTTGAGTATTAAGAAGAAAAATAAGAGGGTGGAAGAAACTCTGACGAAAGACACACTCGCAACAGAATTCCAAACACAAAATCGCCTATTAGAGGACAAGAAAAAAAAACCAAGACCAAGACAAGAACACGAAAACGCCTATTACAGAACAAGAAAAACACCAGAACCAAGGCCAAATGTGTGTTCGCTTCTGCTTAAGGGCTCGTTCGGTTATCCGATTCCTGCCCAGGAATCGTTTCTGCTCATCCACGCTTATATAAGGGCCCGTTCGTTTCGAGCGGAACAGAGTGCCGGAACCGATCCCGGCCAGAAGGCAGCTGTATTTTATACCGGTCAGCTATCACCGGAAGCGTTCCGACTAGGAATCGACGTAAACGAAGCTATCACCGGAAGCGTTCCGACTAGGAATCGACGTAAACGAACGGGCCCTAAATTAGACAAGTTCCTGGCCGGAATCATTCCAGTGCACTATTTCCCAATAACCGAACGATGCCTAAAGGAGCCGCGGCTGCAATAGTTCTATCTACAGTAACCACTAACCAGCAATTCACATCATCCTATTTCCAACTCTGACCCAAGTCGATGTACAAACATCTAAACACCCTTCTCTATATTCCACGGGCAGGAAGACCTCTACGTTAGAGCGGAGGGAGTAACTGGTAGACAAATGTCAATTTCGAAGTTCGGACATGACTAGGCCCGTCGTACGGTCCAATAAGGGATGGAGGTGTAGAAAGCGGCCGCATGGACATGCCATAGTACTGATGGGCCGGTCCATTCCAGATCTGGAGTTGGGCAAAAGAGCGAACGACGCACGCTCCTTGCTGAACAGCTGAAGAACCGGAGTTATAGATGTCCAACGGGCCGGGCCCGTGCCGAGCCGGCTGATGGGGTTCGGGCGGCACGACGGCACGCGTCGTCGTCGCGGCGGGCACCGTGCTTGACCTACGGCCCAGGCACGGCCTGCTGGGCCGTTTATCGGGCCAGGCCGATCCGAGAAGCACGGTTAGTCCAGCGTGCCGGGTCAGCCCGGGCCCACGATGAAGCGCGAGCAGCCAGAGAGAGGGGGAAGGGGAGGAAGCGCGAGCCGTCGGAGTGGAGGCGGGGAGGGGGCGTCCGCGTGGGGGCGCGACATCGACATCGTGCCATGCGCGAGGGCCGAGGGAGAAGAGGCGTCCGCGCAAGACCGCCTCGATGCTGCCGCAGCTCCATGAGCTCTGACCACCGGGCGGCAACTGGGCCACGACGGCCTTGATAGGGCCCACCGAGTAGCCCATGCCTGCCGCCATGCCTGCCACTGCCCCACAGCCCATCATGCCGTGCTCTACTTGGTAGCCTCCGCCATGGCACCACAGATCTCGTCTTGACAGCCGGATCCGACCAAGGGGCAGACGGATTCAGTATATGGTGGTGACGACAATCGGAGAGAGAGAGGAGGAGGAGAAGAAGACCCACCGGCCTTGAGCTCGTGGCGGGAGGATGAGAGCGCCTGAGGAGGCTCGGAGGCTCGGGGAGGAGTGGAGGGAGGCCGGCCTTGGGAGGGGCGAGTGGAGGCCACGACTCGGGGAGGGAGCGAGGGCCGAGGCTGCAGGCTGCTTGCCCGCGTGTGGGTGTGGGGATTGGGATTTGGGAGCGGGGTGTTAGGGTTAGGGAGGGGCGTGGGGTGTGCCTGTGTGGCGGCCGGGCGCCAAGCAGAACTGTGGTCTGAGGCGCGGGCCATGCCGTCTGCGGCCCACGTGCTGGGGTAAGGCCTGAGCACTGCCCTCCCTCCAGTTGGGCCAGGGCCCAGCCCAGGCTTGGCCGGGCGGGGCCGTGCTTGGTAGGGCAAAATGGGCCTTGGGCCGGGCCGACGGGCTCGGGCTGCATGGCCAACTATGACTGAAGTGCAGATGAATGTCATGCCCTGAATGAGGCGGGTTTAGAACTTCAGGATTCAAATTGCTACCCCTTTGCCTATCCTGTCGAGGTGACGCTGGCGCCGACAAAGACGCAGAATCAATGATGGGCGGAAGCGCTGCAACGCGACACTAGAACTGTGATTCAATCATTCGGAGAGGAGGATGCAATCCAGTGAATCACAAGCACTCCCTCCGTAAAAAAACGATTTAACGGAGTGAGTACGCGATTTGGCCCGGGCGCACGACGGCGCGGATCGCTGAAGCCAAACAGCCAACCGTCATGAGCTCACGTGGCACACCTGTTGATGAGACAAGGGGTTGTTCCTGATTTTTTGGTGAGTGTGGATAAATTCGATTTGGGGTGGATTCGACGTTGGCTGTCCGACTACAACGACTACAAGGTTGCTGCGCCTTAGCAACAGGTACACTGGCTCCGATTGTGATGTTCTTGCCGTGCCAAGAACACCATGAACCTGCAAGCAACCGAGAACAAGCAAGAATAAGATGAACCAGTAAATAACTCACGGATTTAAGCCAAAGGCTGAATCTGAATCAGGGTCTTGAAACAAGCAAATCGGGTGGTCTAGCCGACACACGCGTTTACAAGGAAGAAACAACAGCTATCTTACATCTAAACAAAACCCACCCTCATTCTGATGGCTGCTGGTTTTATTTATAAGGAGGAGAGCACAAGGGGAGTGGGAAACCATAATCTGAAAGTCCCTCAATGGGCTCTAGTCGATTACAAGGCCCAGGCCCAAGTCAGAGGTCTGTGCATCCTTTTGCTTCTTTGCACACACACCCAGTGATTATGATAGTGGGGTTGGACCCATCTGAAAGAGGACGACGAGCTCTTTCCAATAAATCAAAAACTAACTTCATTGGATCTCGTATCAAGAGGTTATGGTATTTTTGATGGAGTGTTTCCTGCTGTCTCAGATGAGCTGAGCGTCTCATTAATGATGATTCCCACTTGTTCGGCTGCTCCATCATCATCATGGGGTCTAAATATGAGGCAATGGGGTCTTGACCAACATTCATAAGAATAAGACAATCATCACCATGATTTAGTAGCATTCAATTCTGAGACGAGTTTGTATGAACAGCGAGGAACAACTTTACCTGATAATTAAGTTGTCGTGCTCGAACTCTTGTCATCGTACCTTGTTGTGCAGCAGGCGTGGTTGTATCAATGGAAGGGATGTCCTCATCACCTGTTCCCTCCGCGCTTCAACGCCTCCTCCTCCACGTGCCGTTCCCCTAAACGAGATCCCATCGACGCGCACGCCCGCCGTGATGAGCCGAAGAAAATCGTCTAACCACGCAAAAAACTTCTGAATCCTACCGTCGCTTCCAGACGATTTGTAAAAATAGGACTCGAAACGTCGGTTGTTTGCAGATTTAATGCTGGATTCAGATTCGTAGACACGTTGTCATCGAGCTGTCGTAATTTTTTCGTCGCTTCCGCGCACAGGCAACCCCGGCCCGGCCCGGGCCGGTCACCCGCTCCTCCCCTCGGCTCACCCGCGCGCGTGAGCCGCTTAAATTTCAATTCAAACTGGCCAAGGAATTAGGCAACAGAGCCCCCACGCACGCCACGCACGGGCACGGCTCACCCTTCCCCACCTTGCGCCTGCGAGCCACGCCGAGCCGACCTCAGGCGAAACGGCCGCAGCCGCACGGGAGCGGACAGAGAAAATTTTGAAACGCGAGCGAGGCCGCCACCACCGCGCCAAATCAAGCCCTCCAGATTCCATTCGACGGCCGGCGCCGCGCCTCCTCCCTCCTCCCTCCTACAAATCAGATCCGTCCACCTATAATACTCCCAGGAATTCCCTCCTCTCCCGAGCCCCGCACCGCACCACGCGAACTCAAACCCTGCGAATTCCTCGCGGGCCTCGGCAACGGGCAACGGCGATGTCGGCGTCCCCCTCTTCCGTCGCCGAGGTAGCGGTGGCCGCTGCTGCGGCGGCGGCGATGGCGTCAGCTTTGCCGCAGGAGAAGCAGCAGCAGCAGCAGGCGCGGCCACGGCCGCGGCCGATGCACGCGGGGGGCGGCGGCGGTGGCGCCAATGGCCGCCACCACGCTTACAGCCGCAAGGACAAGTCGCTCGGCCTCCTCTGCTCCAAGTGAGCCTCTTGCAGCCTCGACGCGTCTGGAGATTTCTAGCTCCTGAGTTCTCTTTGCTGTTCTGACCCAAATTCTCCGTGCTGCTTTTAGCTTCGTGGTTCTCTACAACCGCGACGACGTGGAGTTCATCGGGCTGGACGAAGCGGCCAAATGCCTCGGCGTGGAGAGGCGCCGGATCTACGACATTGTCAACGTGCTCGAGAGCGTTGGGGTTAGTTCTTTCTTTCTTCTTCTGCCTTTCCGGGACACAATTCTTGATTTCTTGTGCGGTCTGTTCGGGATATGAAGTATGATTCTAGTTCTGATTCAATTCCCCTTGTGAGAAGATTCTTGTGAGGAAAGCCAAAAATCGCTACACCTGGATAGGTTTCGGCGGAGTCCCAATGGCCTTGCGAGAACTCAAGGTCTGCGTCTAGTCCCCTGCGTGATATTTCGATCAAGAACTGTAGATCTCATCCATCTAACCCGTCATCTCTCGTCTTCTCAGGAAAGGGCGTTAAGAGAAGTCTGGCTTGGCTCCTCTGCAAAACGAGCAGCAATCTGCTGGCATTGTACGACTTCTTATCTTTCCCTTCCATTTGAACCGATGTATCTGATTCTGGTCCACAACAATTTGTACTGCCTTCGTCCTAAAAAAAAGATGCAGTTCTATGTCTGCCTCTAGTCAAACTATCCAAAATTTGACCAAAGATAGGTATACTATGACACAAGATAGGTATACTATGAAACACGTTCTATGATTGAATCTAACGACACTTATTTGGTATCATAAAATATTGATGTTTTTTGTATGCATTTGGTCAAATTTAAAATGGTTTGACTTGGTAATATACTAGAGTTGCGTTCTTTTTTGGACATGGGGATTAGTTCCTACTGAAGTGTTTCTTCTCCTTTGTTCTTTTGCGAAGATTTCTGATGACGAAGATGATGATACATTGGGCAATCCTGGTGCTGATATCGAGAACGAGAAACTGAGTCAGACTCTGGACAATCCTTCTGACAAACCTGGTGCACCCCCGTTGCCGCCTTCGATCTGGTATATTGCTATTTGCTTCATTTTGATTTAGCATGTGTGTGCTGTTCCATTTTGTCTGTCAGGCTCAGAATTTTGGTTGTTACATTTTCAGATCATAGGAAAGAAAAGTCACTTGGGTTGCTTACACAGAATTTCGTGAAGCTCTTCCTCACCATGGAGGTGAGAAATTCTTGAACTCTATTTCTGCCTGAAGATTCATGCATGACCAGTCCATTGATATGAAATCTATACCTGGAGCAGGTTGACACGATCTCACTTGATGAAGCTGCAAAGCTGCTCCTTGGAGAAGGCCACGAGGAGACCAATATGAGAAGTCAGTACTTTCATTTTGTCTTTCTCTAAACGTGCAGCAGTAGCACTATCAGGACTAATAAAACTTAATTTAATCTTGATATTTAATTGGTAATGCAGCTAAAGTTCGGAGGTTATATGACATTGCCAATGTCTTGTCTTCACTGAATCTTATTGAGAAGGTAGGCTTTTGATGCTTGCTGACGATTAAGTTGCAATCTGGTAGTAGCATGTTTCTTAACATACATTCTTGAACTGTGGATTCCAGATACAGCAAGGGGACTCGAGAAAGCCTGCGTTTCGTTGGTTGGGTAGGGCCACAATGCCGAACACTGAAAATGGTGTCACAGTTGCTGTACCCCCACCAGGGAAGACCACATCGAACAAAAGAGCATTTGGAACTGAACTCACTAACATTGACATACATAGAAGTAATCTAGATTCAAAAATTCAGAAGAAAGCAAAACTGGCACAGAGTGGTGGTGATGTCTTGACAAATTGCAAATTAGCTGTGCGGAGTCAGCTTGGGCAGGTTAAACAAAGTGGCTTTGTTTATGGTCCTTTCCACCCTGCTGGTGCAAGGAAACATGAACTTGATGGCGGCAATAAACCTGGGCAAAGGGAGAGGGCTCAGGACTGGGAGAGCCTTTCTGCTTCATTTCGACCACAGTACCAGAACCAAGGTGGGTTCAATACTTTAATCCTGTTTTGTTTCTTAGGACAATGCTAGAATTTTTCTACTTCTTAAGCATCAGAAGTATGTGTATAGTGTGTCTCTCTAGCTGTAGTTTTATATAATAGGCATAAGCTAATAGTGGCATCTGATGGTCTTCAGATGGAATCTCTCTGCCCATCCTGTTTCTTCATGTTAGCTTTGATAGCCCTGTTGCAACCAGTCAGCTAGAAAGTCTGAAAATGAAATATGACCTCAGGAACACTGCAACACATCTCTAGTGTAACATCATGATCTTCTATTTGTTAGAAGCTAATATGAGATTTGTTGATTTTTATAAGCTATTATGCAGGACGCTAGCCAATGCCCAATAGTTCATTATGATCATTTGACATTTATTATCACGTCTATGCAACCTCTTTTATTGGGAGTTTGAAGTAGGACTGGAATAATTGCTAGATATAGAATTTGCTCAGCTATATGTTGCACTAAAGCATTCCCTCTTTTCTGAATGCAGCACTCGGTGATCTTTTTGCCCATTATGTCGAAGCGTGGAAGACATGGTATTCTGAATTTGCTCAAGGCAGCAACATCATGCAACAACACTTTGGCCATTCTGTTAACCATTTTTTGTAGGCAAAATATAGGGTCAAGCATTGCAGTTCTTAGTGCACGCTTGTGTATTTTACCTGTACAATCTGTTAAAAGGGGAGGAAACAAAGACATGATTGGGCCTAGGTTCATTGTATTTACTCAATGCAGGATGTCTTTAGGCTATTTCAGGTGGAAAACTAGAGTGGAACTATTTAGAGAGATGCCCTAGGGGTGTGAGCTGTTTCCCAATCTCTCTAATAGAAACATCATTATCATCTCACCTGTGGGCTTTTTATTGTTAATTGTTGTTTATGTGCTTACCTATGTGGGTTCTAAAACTTTCTGTCTGTCACCGGCCATGCTGATGAAACTTCTCATAATGATGAAGTATATCTTGCATATCTATCACGACAAAAAAAAAACAATTGTATTCAAATTACAATTCAGATACAATCACACAAATGTTATTCATTCTTTCCTTTTTGCTGTGATCATAATTCTTGCTACAATTCAGACGCTACAAAACAGAGAAACGGCCTGTTCGCTGGTTGGTATCTGGGCTGATTTGGGCTGGCTGGTGCTGGATTTTTGTGAGAGGAAAACACTGTTGGCTGGTTGAATAAGCCTGGCTGAAATCAACAAGCAAACAGGGTGAAAGTCTCTGGCCTGGCCTGTATTCAGATTATGCAAAGACAGCCCAATCGTCTTGCCTTAATTGTATCCAGATGATGTAAGGACAGCCCATACAACCAAGATATTGGGATCACAGTTTCTGGGGCCTGAAACACTTGTTTATATTGTAACCTGAAAGCAATTGACGGTGACCAGTTCATACAAAAAAGAAAAACTCTGTTATTTTGAGTAAATGGATCTGACCAAAATAGTACTCCAACGCTCTATCACTATCATGCGCTAAGATGCTTTGACCCACCGAGCGCTATACAACGCTTGAAAAGGATGGTTGATTGAGACAGTGTTCCAAGGGATTGGCTCCTCGCCATTGCTTGGGTTGTTTTGAATAAAGATGTTTAGTTGGCTACTTGTCTTTTGGTTTGTCTACCTAATAACAATTTTAACCAAATATTCCCCCAACGTCATCGACAGCCGACAGGAACACTATATCCACCAACCATTCATGATTTTCGGCTTGTTTTTTAATCCGTACTTTTCAACTTGTTCGCTTGTTCTGATCGCTTGTCTTATAATCCGTATTTTTCAGCTTGTTTTTTTTTCAGCCGGAACAGTGTTTTTCTCTCACAACAAATCCGTCGAAATAATATTTCGGCTTGTTTTTTCAGCGAAGCGAACAGGGCCTTTGCTTGGATTATGGAGAACATCTCAACTACAAAGCTGTTGTCTTGCTACAACTTGATACCAAATTAATTTGGTTTGGCCCTTAGTAAATTTTAGATCTTTGTGCAAATAAGAAAGTTCTAATCTACTTGCAGATGCGGTAACTAATTCTGCATGTAATTTTCCATACACTACTAATTTTCCGTGAGTGAAAAAGAAGAGAAAAAAACGGTACATTGTCTTGCTTCAAACATAATTCTGCTAACTAGGCCATGTTTTTATAATCGAGAAAACTTGTGGAGATCAGATACCACAGGAAATTGATATTGAAAGGTCAATCAGATGCACTTGTTCTCCAAACAAAAGCCTATTGTCAATTGTCGTGTGTCATTTGTTTAACCATATTGCAAATCTATTAGGGGTGCATTACTATAATATATATGTACTTTATTATATATACTACATCCGTCCCTAAAAAAATACAATTCTAGTATAGTATCACGTTTTACTACCTAAGTTTTGACCAATTATAGATAAAAAATCTCCATGTTTATGATACAAAATAAATATTATCAGATTAATTACGAAATGTATTTTTATAAATATTAATTTAAAGCCATAAATATGAATATTATTTACTAAAAAATTAATTAAACGTGAACAACTTTTTTGGCACGAATCCATAGTTGCGTTTTTTTCACCGAACCAATTTCAGCCCTTGTTTAGTTGACAAAATATCCCAAAATGTACTGTTGCTATGAAGTAGCCCAAAATATGAGCAATAGAACTTTTCAGGGGGTGTTTAGTTCCCAAAATCTGAAAACCATCAGACACCATTTAATGAATCGATACGACTTTTATTAATGGCATGCATGCATGAACTTGAATGCAAGTAAGCAAGGTTTTACATCCACCCGACCATTGTCAACAAATGCATGTCATTGCTTGGGGTCATGGAGCCTCATCAACAAAGACAAAGAATGAATGTAAACCAACAATTATTGGTAAACAAATGAAATGGCACAGGCTAATGCCGACACATAGTTACACAGTCAAATAATTACATTGTTTGTCGGACAAAAAAATACAATTACAGCTAAATAAATTAACAGTTACACAGTCGCCTCAAAAAGACGACCAAATCATGTTCGATTAGCCAAACCGATTGCGATGGATTCCCGAAATGCATTCATAAGCTCCGAATCAGAACAACCGCTTGGAGGAATAGTTTCGATCGATCGGCACCCTTCTGCCAAGCACACATAGTTGTCATCCCGGTCACACCGAGCAAAGTGTCGATCCCCTATGTCACTCACCCTTATGAAGTTATGCATGGCACAACATGCAATAATGATTTGACTTTGTATATGGGGGGCATAACTAGGGACTTCTTTCACCATCCGCCACTTCATTTTCAACACTCCAAATGACCTTTCTATGACATTCCTAAGTGACGAATGTGCATAATTGAAGATCTCAGTTTTACCTTGTGGTTCTGGTGCCTCTCGGTACTCCTATAGGTGGTACTTTGTTCCCTTGTATGCGGTGCAAGATAACTTTGGTCGGTTAAGCGTGCCCGAGTCCACAAGGTAATATTTGCCTATAACATTGAAACAACAGTTAGTATCACGAACTTGTACTCGCATGCACAAAAGTATAACCAACTAATTGTATACCTGTTGGTGGATGTGGAAACACGTTGCTGTATGTTGTTGTCGCATCAGTGAAGACCCTCATGTCATGTACTGAACCCGGCTAGTCAGCTAACACGAATGTAAACCGCATGTCGAAGTCACACACAGCCAAGACATTACGTGTTTGTCATCCCCTTATGGCACAGTCTTTGCAAAAACTTATCACTAGGCACCACACAGGGACATGAGTCCCATCTATCGCCCCTATGCAGTCCTTGAAGTAGGGATATAACCTAGGATTTCTTAGCCTATCATGCATAGTGCTGAAATTTGGGTCATTAGGCCTAATGATGTCGTGAGAAGCTTGACAATGACTTCAACACCCTATGAAACATGCTATGCACAGGTCCCCAAAGACCTCTCAAACCTGTCCTCCGCTTGCCTAACATATTGTGGAGCCCCACCATCCACAGAAAACATCCCAAGGGCTTCAATAGATGCGGATTTGCTATTAGATTTCAGCCTATATGATTCTACCAACACATCATGCAGACTGTGGAACATATCAGGGCTCATTCTGAACATGTTATAATAGGCCTTCCTATTTCCTAGTTTACTATGTACCCATTCCAAACCACTAATGACTGGTTGTCTATACTCTGACCTTGACAAGTGCTTGTCAATATGGTAGGCGTACTGGTACATACCGTGATGTGAAAGCATCGCCATCATCCTCCGCCTCCATCCGATCCAACGATGAACTCGTCCAAATCATTCTCATAACAATCTTGCCTCCGAGACATCATCCCAGTCACTATTGCTTGGACATCCTCCTGTCAAAACAAAAAGCAGTTCACGCCGGCCAACATCAACTAGGCAACATTAGCATGCATCCCTATTCAAATGCAGACTCATGCCGCTTACTCAAACTCATGCACTACATACATCAACAGATCATAGCCATATCCAATCATACTACAAATAACCGGTTCAAGTGTTCGACATGACATACTTAGGTCAATGACCAAAGACACCCACCACACCTCACATAGTTCTAATGACATAACTTAGTAACTACATAGAAAGCTTAACAAAATAAGATCTAGGGAGGACCCCTGATGTATTGCTTAATAATCACAAGATCCTTCCTTGGGGCGAGGAGCTTATGAAGAAGTTCATAACAGCTCACTCTTGCCACGATCTTGAGCACTGACCATCCACTCACTGGGGTCTCTTCATTTGCACCACACTTGTCTTGCCAATTGTAGCACTAGTTCCACCTTCCTCTCAGGCCCTTCTTTGTTGTCCTCAATTTTTTGGTTCCTCTCTTGCCACATTGCTGTCATCCTCTCAAGCCTCTGCCTTGAAATCTCATTGTGTTCCTTCATGTGAGCATCCATGGTCCTGACAACGGGGCTCTTGGACCGCTTGCTCGGGCTAGAGGCGATTGTCTTTGGTCTTGCTTGCCCTCTTAGTACCGACACTAAGCGGCGTAAGTTGGTCGTCGTGCTCATCATTGGAGTCGCCATCCGAACTTTCACCAAACTCGTATTGCTTTGGGAAGGACAGAACGACGTTGAGCCATCAACAGCGTTGCCGGCGAACATCTGGTCCAAATCGTCCATGTACGGAGGCCACCCGTCCTTGAGCTTCTTCCACTCCGGGTGTCCCTAAAAAACCGGCATAGGTGAATCATTGTATAGTAACATTTTAACAGTACATGATTGAACATAAGATTGCTTACATACCACCGCATTTAGAGTCCCACCAAGCATCGAGAGCAAGGATGGAGCCATCGTCTACTTTGCCTAAGCCAAAGGCCTTTCCAGAGGTCGTTGATAAAATTCCACAAATGCTTGAGCTGGCGTAACTTACTCTTGAACTGGTCCTTGTCATGAACCAAGGTTGTTGTTGCATAGTACCTTGCAATCAGATCTCTCCACCCCGACTTGTTCATGCAGCCGCGGATACAGTTGCCACTGTCAATTTGGTGGCACCAGATTTGGCAAAACTTGCTTATATTGGGCTCTGACCAGTTCCCCCTGTTGTTCCTAGCCTAAACGATTTCATAAGAAATAATTTCACACCGACGAACAGGCTAAGATGGGGAGAACA